AACTACTTTCTTTGCTCATCCATAGGAAGCAATTCCTTATCCATTAAAGATTGATCATGAGATTGCAGTAATTCAGTCAGATCTTCAAGCTCTGCTTCTAATTCTATTAACATTTCTCTTGCTACATCCACCACATCTGCAGTTACTTCCTCCACTGTAGTTCTGAACCCTTCAAAGTCATCCATAATGGGTAGAATCAGCTTCTTCCAAACTCTTGTTAGTGCTGTTATTTTGATCTCCTCCCACGAATCACAAATGTTCTTAATGGCATCTAGAATGGTGAATCCTTCCCAGAAGATTTTCAATTTACTTTGCTCAGATCCACCACAGGAATCACTGTCTCTGGCAGCTACAGCCTTACAAAATGTATTTCTTAACTAATAAAATTTGAATGTCAAAATTACTCCTTGATCCGTGAGCTACAGAATGGATATATCAGCATGAAAACAACTTTAATCTCCTTATACATCTCCATCAGAGCTTTTGGATGACTAGGTGTATTGTCAGTGAGCAGTAATATTTTGAAAGGAATCTTTTTTCTGAGCAGTAGGTCTCAATAATGGGCTTCAAATATTGAGTAAACCACGCTGTAAACAGAGGTGCTGTCATCCAGGCTTTGTTGTTCCATTTATAGAGCACAGGCAGCGTAGATTCAGCATAATTCTGAAGGGCCCTAACATTTCTGGAATGGTAAATGAGCACCGGCTTCAACTTAAAATCACCAGCTACATTAGCCCATAACAAGAGTCAACTTATCCTCTGAAGGTTTGTGGCCAGGCAATGACTTCTCCTCTCTAGCCATGAAAGTCCCAGATGGAATCTTCTTCCAGTAGAAGGCTGTTTTGCCTATAATGAAAATCTGTTGTTGTGTAGCCATACTTGTTAATGATCTTAGCTAGATCTTCTGGACAACCTGCTGCAGCTTCCACATCAGCAATTGCTGCTTCCCCTTGCACTTTTATGTTATGAAGATGGGTTCTTTCCTTAAATTTTATGAACTAACTTCTGATAGCTTCAAATTTTTCTTCTACAGCTTCCCCACCTGTATCAGCCTTCCTATAATTGATGAGAGTTAGGGCCTTGCTCTGGATTAGGCTTTGGCTTAAGGGAATGTTGTGCCTGGTTTGATCTATCCAGACAGAGCACTAAAACCTTCCCCGTATCAGCAATAAGGCTGTTTTCACTTTCTTGTCATTCCTGTGTTCACTGGAGTATCCTTTAAATGTTTTTCTTTTGCATTCACAACTTGGCTAACTGTTTGGCACAGGAGACCTAGCTTTCAGCCTATCTCAGCTTTCGTCATGCCTTTCTCACTAAGCTTAATCGTTTCTAGCTTTTTATTTAGCATGAGAGACATGTGACTCTTGCTGTCACTTGAACACTCAGAGGCCATTGCAGGGTTTTAATTGGTCTAATTTCAATATTGTTGTGTTTCAAGGAAAAGGGAGGCCAGAGGAGAGGCAGAGAGATGGGGGACCAGCCAGTTGGTGAAGCAGTCAGAACATACACAACACTTACCGATTAAGACCACCATCTTTTATGAGTACAGTTCATGGAAGCCCAAAACAATTGCAATAGTAACATCAAAGATCACTCATCACAGATTACCATAACAAATATGGTAATAATGAAAAGCCTTGATATATTGCAAGAATTACCAAAATGTGACACAGAGACACAAAATGAGCACATTGTTGGAAAAATGGTACCCATACACTTCCTTGATGCAGTACAGCCACAAACTTTCAATTTGTAAAAAATACACTACCTACAAAGTGTGATAAAGCAAGCACAATAAAATGAGGTATGCCTGTATGTTAAACTGTGACAAGATTATGATGATTCTTGAATTTATATTTACTTTCAAAATAATGATTTCCCCCCCCTCCCCTACCCCAGTAGCTGCAATGAGTAGTAGGGATAACCATCTGAAATAAACTTGTTAAGAAGAGGAAACATGGAGAAACTAGAGATGCTACAAATTACTGTACAACTTCACCTGGGTACACAAAACCTCTTTCACAATCCTTTATGTCCCTGGAATATCAGTACCTCCATTTCCACATAGGAAAATTTTGATCACTGTTTTTAAGCACCTTTTTTCTGAACTTTTTTCTAATCCATGTAA